AAGCCTTATCGACGTCACAGGAGCCACCTTTTTTGGTTCCGTTCCTGCTCGCCAAGCAATCCTACAATGCCGGACCGGAAGTTTCGTTGACGTCGCCGCCCCCTCTCTGCTGTGCAGAAGCAGATATTCCCGGTGCCCGTGGGTGCACTTTTGGGACATCCATCCACATTTCACACGTGGCAGCCGAGAAGCGTCGTGTGCGGCACACGGACCCTCTCTTCCAAAAAGCCATTCAGACGGCCTTGGTGGAGTCAAGGCCCTTCGCCTTGATCTGGCCGGACGATGAGAAGCCAGCTTCTCCATTCTCCAACCACCAGCTGGAGGTGCCGGTGGACATTTGGGATCTCGAAAATGCCCACGCCGTCCCCAAGGAGTGGTGTCTTGATTACTTCTTCGACAAGCTAGTGCACCTTGGCGAAGACTTAGAAACCCGAAAGGATTTGGATCACTAGCAACCAGTGGGAGACAGGAATTCCATGTCCCTGGCTGTCCCCTAGGTTACCGACAGACATCTTCGACCCGCCCCACTTCCAGTGCAGCAGCCTCGCTGACGCCTTCCTCCCGGAGTCCGAAGTTCAGCGTGCTTTCTCAAGGGATGCTTGCTGGTCCAAAGACACGAAGGCCAGGAGAAAATTGATACCCCGGCACCTGAGGAACAAAAGACATGCGAACACTGTCTTGCTTCCCTGTCCCTCCGTCTTCAATCGAGAGGAGCCGGCACACCCAGAGATGCAGCCGCCGCCAGTTCTCCACACCCTGCGTACTTTGCTGATGTCGCTCAGGAAGCTGCGCGGCTGCGAAATTCGCGTATGGCAATCAGACACTGCTTTCCCGACGTAGTGCTTGTAGAAGAAAGTTCCAGTCCAAGACTGCCAGAATTATATCAAGTAGGCCAGCACCGGTAATGAACCAGTTCTGTTGTGCACCTGGCCCAAGCCAAGGATCCCAAACGGAGCTGAAGATGAATCTATCCGGAAGCACATGCTGAGCCGTTTCGGGTCTGCGGTGCCCCTGCATCGCATTGCTGTGCTAGTCGCTGAGTAAGCAAAGTAGTTCGGAGTACAAGTTTCACATCGGTCACACACAAACTGCCGAAGATCGGTATGCAGAATTCACTCCTCCAGTGTTTAGCAAAAGTGGTCCGCCGGCTGAACCACGAGGCCAAGAAGACATCTCCAAAGACTCGCCGACCGTTGTGTCCAGGTTGCGGGAGCAATTGACACGGCAGTACATGGAACAGCTGGCCGGGTGCCCAGCGAGTTAAGGTTTTCCTTAGCTGCGTTTCCTCCCTGAGTGGTTGGGGCCGGGGTCGTTGGGGGCATCCTTCGTGTCAGGACAAAGCGATGGACCTGCAGGGAGGTATCCACAAGCTGCAGCGCAGCTCTTGGTGAAGACCGCATGCATCGAGCTTCAGAGTGCGGAGCTCTTGCTTGGAATCTCGACTGAGGTTGAGCCACAAAGAACTCGATGAGACTGTAAAGACACGTTTGCCGAGCCCTTCGTCTGCAACCTCCGGGTGAGGAAAGTGTTGAGTGGTGAAGTTAAGACTCCAGCAAGAGGGTCCGGCATGTGTTGTTGATGTTGATGGAAATCTCATCCGGAGCTTCATGGCAACTGAGCATGAAGGCTCGCTGAGAACTCACCGACAAGCCTCAGCCCAACTGCCACTAAACATTGAACCAAAGAAACACACCAAATGCAGCACGCGATCCCGCATGCTGGCGCAGTTTTAGAGGCCGCATGGCAAAGCCATGGTGGTCCTGGCATGCCCACAGCCATTACTTAGCGTTAAATCATAAATCCCCATGACTTCCTCGACGAAGTTGCGCGGGAGTCGTTGGGTGGCCACTGAATGCGTCCCGAGAGCCAGCATCTCGAAACATGCCGATGTGTTGGGTTTCAGTGTCGCAGCAAGGCTACAAGTAAGAGTCTTCAGGACGCATGACCGGCCCGAAGGGTCAGTCGTAGAAGCCCACTAGGTTCGCTTGGTTCTTCAGTGTGGTCGACTATTGGTAGATCAGCGCCGTGCGGCGAAGACGGCGTGAGATGCTTACTGAACGGTGTGGAGCAGTTTTTCCACCGGGATATGCGTAATCGAGTCGTCTGGCACGCCCAGACCCTCAACCCCGGAACAGAACCTAATCACGTGTAGGCAAGTTTTAGGAACGCCAGGACCAGGCTCACGTTCCGTTCAGTTCAAAATCGCAAGATCGCTCGATGTGATTTATGCTTCTCTGAATGCCGATTATGGGCTCAAGAATAAAGATTGAGGCACCAGGAACTGCTTGTGCAGAAATGGCCCGATGGCAGGGTTTCCTTGGGCCGCGCCTTTTGGGGAATCCGGAACTGGCCGAGCCTGGGCAGAATGGTCCAAGTAGAGTCATGCCACGGCCATGATCTTTGATCCTTTGCAGACGTTGAGAGATGAAGAAGCAATTAAGCCCAACCCGGAAAGCTGCGCCTTAGCTCCTGTGGACTCTTTTGAGGATGGTGCCGCCTCGACGGCACGTCCTGGGCCGAGCTCGGGGACTTGTTCAGTGGGCGGGTTTGGTGGGGGCTTCAGCGGGTCGGTTAGATCGAGGTGAAGAATCTCCAATGTGTTTGGGGGGGATGCCTGCAACGTGCTTTCCTGTCTTGAAGCTGATAGCTGGCTCCACGAGGCCCGACGACAAGTGATGGCCAGGCCGGTGTTTTCCGGAGTCCCGACATCTGGCTTTTGCACAGAGCCAGGTAGCAGTGCCCAGAGCGATGGAAGCTCCCATGCAGGAATGCTCCACTCAATCGCTTCAGAAGTTGCGACGTCACTTTCCCCTTCTTTGATCATTATTGCTTCCTGCAGGCACCGCACCCGAATGGTGACGTGAGGCTTGAACCGCTAGCTGCCGCTAGCTGTGGACTTCTGCGAGTGCCGGTTTAGACTGCGCTGCTGCCTGCAGGTCTATGGTTCGAGAAGCGGCACAGACAGTGGCGGCTTCCATGCCGCCGGGGCCCAGAAGTCTACTGGGCTTGTTGCTTGGAACTTCAGTCGACATTTGTACACTTCAGGCAAAGGCCAGCTGCCCCACAAGCTCCGGTGCAGTTGATTATACAGCTCCTTGACTCTGTCAGGCCATTCTTGGACGCATGTTCTGCTGCATACTTCACGTCTCGCCTGAGGAACAGCTCATCTGTCACGACTTCGCAACAAGTACCCGAGATGCCACCAGAACCACCAAAGATGCCTCAGCATGTGTGGGAGCTGTCCCGAAAAGACCTGGTGGACTTCTGGGCCTCACCGCTGAACCGCGTATGCCTCTTGGGCCTGGCCGGCTTCCTCCTCTTCATCTATCACGACAACACCCAGCAACTTGCGCTACACTCGTATCTGCCTGTGTCTACCGCCGTCTCCGTTTTTTAAATCTGTTGGATGAAGCGTGTCGAGCTCGTGTGACATGCCGCATCTCGCAGGCACAAATGGCGCATGTCGCAACTTCAGCGGCGGATAGATTCCAACCCCTTCACCAAGCTCGTCGCAGTTGCCGGACGCCTCGGCATTCAGGGCCATGGCATTGCAAGAGAGGTTGGGTCCGCTTTGCCCTCTCAGATCCAGAGTCCGCACAAGGCCTTTGGCCCGTCGTCGTGGCCGAAGTGAAGACTGGGGCCTGAGCCGGATTGAGCTCGGTCGCTTAGATAGTTCTGTTTCACCACAGCTCACCGCAGCACCATTCCGCCCAAAAGCTGGCTCAAACTTGAAGAAACACCAAGTCGAGTCCAGATGCGAAGTGCACAGGATCACAGGATGCATGGGTAGTCCTTGGGTGTTCTGTCGGGGCTAGAGTCCGCTAGCGGTCGGCTGTACGTAGGATGGATTGAAAAGCTGCGGCACTTCGATACCATCGAACGACCTGCTTGTACAAGGGGTTGCGTTAAGTCGTCCCGTCCTGTTGTGAAGTCATCCGTTTTGCGCATGGACATGGGGATAAGCATATCTTTGCCCTGTCTAGCCCCATCGAGATAATTATTGCCTCATTATCGAGGCAATATTCGTAAGTAGTCATGAGGTTTTAGCGCCTGCGTGTGATCTCGTCGCTATAGGCTTCTCCTTGCGTGTAGATGGGGGTTTAGATGTCTAACGCTCGAACTTCAAAGATTGGTGAACTAGGCCGTCCGGACTCTATGTGTTGTGTAAACATCTTTGGGCGGCGTCTACTTGCGGAACGGACAAATCGCCTGCCAGTGCCAGTGCAATGTGCTTTGTAACACCTTCTGCGACGGCGTCTACTTGCAGAACTGACTGTGATGCTAATGATGCGTGTATTGAGACGAGCGGGTGCTTCGCAAATCGAGCGTCCAGTTGCGGAGTGGCTTGTTTTGAAGTGCTGTAATTAGTCTGTAATTTAATTCTACCCGCTGTTTGTGTTGAGCGGGTGCTTCTGAAAACGAGCGTCTACATGGGGAACGGCTGGTTTTCTTCAAGTCTTGATAGAATGTGATACCAACGAGGTGTGTCTTGAGCGGGCGCTTGTTACATGTCTGAAACCACGTGCATATGGTATTTAGCTGGCAAGATGGCAGACCTATCAGAGCGCCGGGACATAATTTCCACGTTGCCGCGTGACCATGCGGTGGCGCGACTTCACCCGCCGTGGGGCGACATAAAGGTACCCCTTGTAGCCGGACGCCCAGTAGACATCACCATGGATGGGTTTGGAGTGAGATCCCGGGTCGGTGCTTCCGTCAATCAAAATGCAAGGTCCTCCAAAGTCCCAAGTTGCTCGGGGCTCCTGTCGTTCGTGAACAGAGAGGTAAGCATGGGGTCATAGAGGTGCACCTGCTAACATACTGCTACGTGTGATGCCCAACAAGATTGAACAGGCTCTGTGAATAGTGCTATAAGCTTCTGCAAGTCCGTGTGCATCCCAAATGTGTTCAGCACATGTCAAGCTGGTCATGTCGAGTGCTTTCCGACTTGGCAAGTCTCGAGTGTTCGTCCCACTGGCGGCGAACCTGTAGCATCCGCCATGGCAACTCGAGCAGGTCTGGTGTTCGTTGCTTTTGCAGCAGGCACGCAAGAGGGTAAAGGTCAGATGTAGCGCAGCCGAAAATCCATGCGTTGGAACATCAACCTTGAGCTGGACAGGCACCTATGCCCGCAACGAATGCTCGGCCGAGGAGACGCGGTTGCTGCAGATTGCGCGGGCGAGGCAGGGTGCTTGCTACTAGCACTATAATGCTACTGTAGCAAAGGCAATCAGAACAAGCACAGAAATCGTTGTCTACTGCCATGGCGAATCAGATCTTTGGATTCTGACTGGTCCTGTATAAACGGTTTGTGCTTGGACTGTGAGCATCTGGACTTCCGTGTTCCAGCATGTGGAATTTTGTTCGCATTGCATTGCATACCTCCCAGCGGTCTCGGGATGAACATGTGGGTCGGAAAGCAACGGCAATCAGCAGTATTCAGCATTCAGGACGCAGACCAACAACCCATTTCCGCAGCTCCAGGATCCAACGAACGAGGGGTCTGTTTACTGGCTCCCGGACCTGGCGCACGGGCTAATGTACGTCGCGCCGCACGAGCCACGCGGCAACTAAGCAAACGGCTGGAAAGATGGCGATCTGATTGCGTATATAGGTGGACAAGCAGTGCACACCCACGAGCTTGTAGCAAGCAAGGGCTAACCCCACACCTCACATCCTATACTCCCCCCCTTCACTTTCACACCACTTCCCAGCCCGCCTAAGAACTCAACCTTGTAAAACCACAAAACACAAAGCACCTCCCAACACCAATACAACAATCCAGACTACAACCACAATATACAGTTACAAGCACCCACAGCGAAATCCCAAATACAATCCAAAACACAAAGCAGATACCAAATCCCACGCCGAAATCCCAAATACAATCCAACACACAAAGCACCGCCCAAATCCCACACCGAAATCCCAAATACAATCCAAAACACAAAGCACCTCCCAACACAACACCGCACAAAACAAAATCCGACGCACCGCCCATACCCCACACATCCTATACTCCCGCCTGCACTTTCAACATCTTTCAACTCATGTCTCAACCCGCCTAACTCTTCAACCTTCCGAAACACCAAAACACAAAGCACCTCCCAACAACCAATACAATAATCCCGAAACACAGCAACCTACCAAAACCAATGCAGTTTTCCAGAGCACAACCCAAAACCCAAGCTCCTCCCAAATCCCACGCCGAAATCCCAAATACAATCCAGGGTAGGATTTGTTTAGGCGCTTTGGGTTTTGGGTTGTGTTATGGATAAATGTATTGGGTTTGGTGAGTGGAAGTTTTTTCGGGCTTATCGTATTGGTTTTTGGGAGGTGCTTTGTGTATTGCGGGATTTACGGGTTGAGAAATGGGATGTAGCATTAATGCGGTGCGAATCTGGGGAGCAACGTGACTCGCTAATGGACGCCATGTACCCTCGCCATCCACTTGCAATGCATGCCGCGCACAGACACTACATGCAAAGCGACGCAAAGCATTTGAATGCATTTCGGGAGCTCGTTTTAGAATTCGTCGCCTCGCTACCTCATGCCGCGCTTACTCATTGTGTCCGGAGGCATCATGGAACACAGCCTCCGTCACCTGCACGCCAGGACCCTCACCAACGCCGACGGATCGCTTCCAGGACGGCCTTGCATCGCACGTTTGGGCATCCTCTACCTCAACAAGCCGGAACCCGGCCTTGCACCTTAGGTTGGAAGCCTCTCGCGAGTTCGGGGGTTGCCTAGACTCTTCGCGAACTCGCTGGTTGGGGAGTACTCGTTGGTGCACGTACTGCTTAAGTGAACCGGGGGGTGTGGTGGTCCCCGACTCTCGTCCCCGAAACTAGTGCAAGAGTGAGTTCGCTCGGATAAGTGGGTGTTTGCACCATGCACAAGCCTGCCAGACTCTGTAAGAGTCACGGCCCTGACTGTTTCTGATCCTCCACACGAGCAGTCCAGCAAGAAACTGTGTGAAAACTTCTTTTGTGCGAAGCAACATGGCTGTCTACTCTACGCATCGAGATCTACTTCATTCCTAGAGTTGAGATTCTATTGCTGCACCGGTTGATCTCTGCCAAGAATCAAGAAGACACGTCGGCCCTGGCAGGAGACATGTCTGGAGATGCAAGACAGAATGCTGCCTGGCTGAAAGGCCCAACACGCAGCCTCTAAACAGCGGCCCTCAATCACAGCGGACCGTATGACGAAAGTCTCAGAAGCCGTTTACGGTGGTTTGCGGCCAATCTAGGACTGGAAATCTGTAATATGAAGCAATCAATGAGCCTGGCCCACCCCAGCTTTCTCACAGGCAGAAGAAAGCTGCAAAATTCGAAACATAGTCTGCGCCAGGTTCTTACACGACACTAATCAGCACCGCATAAGTAATTAATAAGTAACTACAGGGAACTCATGCTTTCTGCCTGATTTGTCAGTGTTCTCGAAGAGCTTACGTACAGCTTTGGAGCTCGAGGATTTAGACACGAGCTCGGATCACTACAGAATTTATGTAGCTGGAACCAAAACTGGCCGTCGTGCCTTGCAAGCTGCACCAAGTTACAGCCAAGGAGTACTGGCAGTGTGACCGCATGTGCCGCTATGTCTATGGAGTCTTCGACGGCTTTGGAAGTGAATTTCTGCAGACGCCTCGAATTAGGCTGTTCTTGTTAAGCTTAGCGGGGCCACAACTGCCTCAAAGCAAGTTGGCGGCATTGCTTCGTGAACATGGCTAAGGATTCTTCGACCGCTATATTGTCGGCACATGGGTGAAAGATCCGAACGGAGTGAAGCAGAAATCCTGCCTGTGCAAACGTGGAGCAACAGAGTTGGGCAATGCTTCCTTTGCAGAGACGAGATATAGAACCTTGTCGCCAACAGGCATATCCGGTCGGAAAGGCGTCTTCCAATACGCGGTGCCGTACAACACATCGAACTACTGGTCTGGTGCAGAGGGCGCGTATACGGATGGCCCGCCGATTTATTCGACCCGGATGGTATGCGCAATCAGTTCGATGTCGGACATGTCCGCGCGACCTGTGACATATGCGGCCGTGGATGATGTCCCGGTTGGCCACTGTGCTTCACTGTGGCACCTGCGGCGCCTGCAGCTCTCCGTACGATCAGCGCATCATTTACCTTACTCGAAACAACATCACTAAGCAGCAGACAAAGTGCTCTGCAAGATATGTCCTGTCACAGTTTCGCTTCCGGGAATCCAAAAGGCAAACGATCCAAGACCTAAAAAACTGCATGACACGCGGCGGGATGGCTTTTGACGACACGGGACTATCTTGGTCCGAGCCTGCAGGAAAACCAACTTGCATGGATTGCCAAGTAGACAACATTCTTAACGACAAGGTTTTATGCATGTCCTCTTGTTATGAGACTCGCTTGCAATTTGCGTTATGGCATGGGTCCGACAGTCCCGGGACTGGGACTTGAATTTGATGGGTGTTGGATTCCAACTGTTGGATAAGCCAAGATCAGGAATGTATTGCAATGGATGCCGAGCATGTACTCCACAGCACAGGCTGCACTCTTCTGGCACAGGGGGGCCCAATTCATGGCCTCCATTGCGGGAGCAGCATCAGCCAAGGACAAATTTCTGCATCCGTCGGGACAGCCCTACGATGAGGATGCTTGCCTGCAGTGTGACGAGTATACTTCAGGCCCCTGGTACATTATGTGTGGGGGCTGCAATCGGCGCAGCTCGGGAATTGTGGGAGACATCGAGAGAAATCAGAGCTGGATCTGTCCAGTTGGCTATTGCTACGGCAAAGGCGACAGCTGCTACAGCTAGGTCACAACGTTCGTCTCTCTTTTCAATACCTCGGGATTCAGTGGGATCGTGGCATATGTGGCAGGATGCGATGTAGTTGGGGACGGACATTTTTGTTGGAAGCTGCTGCTCTTTCTATGAATGACAGCACGTTAAGTCAGGTCAGAAGTGTGCCAGAAACTGTGGCACCTCCCAAAGTGGGCTTCGGCAACAACTCCTGAAGCGCAGGCAAGAAGCATCACAAGCAACAGTTGGGGAGCAAAGCAGGCAATATGCAGCAATGAAACTGCGAGCTTCGGAGCGCCACATTCGCCTTTTTTCTGATGCCGGCCGCCAGAGAGTCAGGGTATCGGGTACGTTACATCTCACCGATCCGAGCTCAAGATACAGTTGCGAAGAAAGAAGCCTGCCTTGAGTGCGCGAATCTTCCCCGTAGATTGCGTAGTTGTGCTGTCGTACTGTGGCATTAACTCAACTGCTGTCCAGAGATGTTCAGAGTAGGGGCTGAGAGACCCGGAGATTTCAAGTCCACTGCCTGGTTTGGGCGCTCATTACCTGAGCAGCGAAGCTCGCAAGAGGAGTCGCGGACACGATTTGGGGCTAAATTGGAGTCAGCCCGCCGTGTTTAACACATATAGGCTATAGGGTTTCGAGCGACCAGATAGCTCGCGTAAGATTTCGCCAACCACGCAGACAGTTTTGCCACCACGTGCAGCAGCGACAGCACGTTTGGCACAACATTGCATGTCGTCGCATGTTCAGCACAAGAGGCGAATGCAAATCAATTGTGTGACAGCAAGCAGCACCTCTGTGCAAACGGACTTGTGTTCCGGCTGCGTAGCTTAGCGAAATCTCCCCGTAAAAAGTACTGTAGGATCTTTTTTAGACAGCGATTCGTTTGACACATGTATTGCAGTTCATCGAGCAGGCCCTGTTCTCTGCAAGTCTTCTTTTGCCTTTTGCGTGGGTAGCAATGGATGATCGCCTGCTCTGCAAACAAGGATCTGGTGATGCAACCTTGAACTCCCGGCCCTGACGCAACTCTTGCGGTTCTTCTGGCTCCGACATGACGTAAACGCGCAGAACCGGCATGCTGTTTGCATCGGTCTTTACAGGGTTTCCTACACTCGAAGTGCCTTTCGCATCGGTGCCGTCGTTGTTTCGTATTCGTATGTCTGGAAGTGTTGGTTCTTGCGACGTTCGGAATCCCCGGTATTTGCAGCGTTTCCTTGCTTTCGGCTGCTGAACATATCGAAATTGCGTTAAACGGTGGTTCCTTTGTTTTTGTTTCGTGAGTTTGCAATCCCTGGTGTTTGCGACTTTTGGAAATGTCGGCATGTGCGGCATTTCTTTGCATTCGGCTGCTGAATTTTTCCAATTTTAGGGGGTTCCTCTCTTTGGCTGCCTTTTTGCCGGAGTGCGAGGTGGGATAGAGCGAGTCCATGGTGTACGTGGTCTGTTTCGATGTGGGAAAGGCAGATCTCCTTTGCTCTCGGTGGGTCTGGGCGCGGCGGGAGGGCTCTCTCTTTCGTGTTTCCTTGCCTTCGCATTTCTTCGCCACCGACGTTCACAGTCTACAGACATAAAGACATATAATGTGGGGGCCTAAATAATAGGCTACTTATTGGCTGTCAACTGAACTTTTCAACTTTTGTTTCCTTGGGTCTTGGGCCAGTGAGTAGGAATTTTGGTTTGACTAGTCTGGTGTCGGTGACCCTTCGGACCGGGGAGGGGGGTTTGGGTGGCTTTGAGGAAGTTAGAAGAAAATTGCTGGCTCAGGGTTCGGGTGGCTTTGATTAAGTTGATGGAGTTTGGGGGGTCTGGGGGTTTGGGGACTGGCTCAGGGTCTGGGCGGCTTTGATTAAGTTAGACGGGAATTTAAGTTTTAGGCTTATACAGGTAGGTGGGGTTTCGGGAGAGTGGGTGGGTGGGTGGGTGGGTGGGTGGGGAGGCATAATTCCGCCATTGAAGGACATCTGCTGGAAAGCACACAAAACACTGCAACAGCTGTGGAGAAGCAGCAATAACAAAGCAAACGCACATTCCTGTGTAAAGCGATGTGCTGTAATTTACAGCACTTTCTCAACAATAAGGCTACATGCAGATTAAAGAAACTGACGCCATATCTTGTGTCCTTTCAAACATAGAAAGCGAAGAAAACCCGGGAAGCCCGTCAAGCACTCACGTTGTTTCCTGACAGCCCATGCGCGGGGCCTTTTTCAACACGCCACTCGCAGACTCTCGTAGGGTGTATCTCTGTCTCTGTCTCTCTGTCAGTCTGTCTTTCTTTCTTCTTTTGTCTTTCTGTCTTTCGTTCTTTCGCTCCTTTTTCACCTTCACTCGTTCTTCCGTGGTTCCCTCTTGGCGTTTTGGGAAAACAACATAAACACGCTAAACAAAAAGACGTACCCTGCCCTACACTCAACGCCGGATCAAACCTGAGGCCCACACGGCGCCCAGATCGAGAGGTAGTCTCGATCTGTTCTGCGCCTTGGGCTTTAGGGTCAGGCACGAAACCCGAGACGGGTCGAATATCAGCAGACTCTGTACAATTTCATTTTCGATCAACCTGCTTCACAATCGGGTTCGAAAACACCTCGATGATTCGACAATGTGGACATGAAGGCTGGCGTTCGACATGCTTGTCAGATTGAATTTGGGAGAGTTACGTCGTCGTCCCCTCGAAGGAAGCCAAATCCGAGTGGCCCATGTCCCAGAGCCCACAGGTGTCTGACTCGGCTTTGCGCTGTTTCCAAAGACATGGCCACACGCTGAGTCCCCATGGAGGCCTCTCGCTTTTCCCGTGCATCCGATGCCGGCCTCGCAGGCAAGTTTCAGTCCAGGGAATGCACGCACGCTGCGCAGTGGACGCAGGTGAATGGTAAATAGCCAGCGAGGATAATGATAGAAGGAAAACTGCAGCTGGTTTTTACACGTGGCTTATTTCGTGAGATGCCGGCAGCTACGTGCGGTAGGTGGCCGGAAGCACCTTCAGTATGCAAGGGCGACTATGCTGCGACGAGCCACATGCGTAACGTGTCCGATGGGGGGTTGTTCCTACATGCACGCCTGACGAAATTTGCACCCCAACGCGCCGCGAGTAGGCATTGTTGTCAACTTCCTGCAACCTTACTAACAGAAGCGGTGGAGACGGCAGATGCTTGAGGGATTGCATGCTTGACATATGACAACCGCCAGCAAAGCGGCACATAGCTGGAATGGACAAGGCATCACAAGGCTTCTTGGTCAAGATCAACTCCGAAAGTCTGCTCACCCACTGCTCCTCATGCTTGTCGCCCGAGTGAGGATAGTCGCGCTGCACTGTCAGGACATGCATTTGCAAATGTTGGCTTTGGCTGCAGGAAACAGGCAGAAATCATACACTCGCAAATTAATCAATGAATTGCAAGTTTTCCTGTAAAGGGAACGTGCTACGGTTAAGCAAACTAATCAGCCACGATAGCGGTTAGATGCGTCAGCTTGCCATAACATTCAGCCACAGACTATCGAATAGTAAGTGATAGGACGGTGTCGGCCTTGAAAATTCGCGCATGTCCCTGTACAGTCGCCATGGGTCCCATGCCGTGTGACCCGGTGGAAAAGAGCCCGGTGAGTGAGAAGGACCCTGTGCAGATATGTGCAGATTGTCCTGTTTTGCTAAATCTTGATTTGCAGATTCAAGCAGCGATGCTACTCCCGCGATGTTATGCCGCCCGCTCCTACCAATTCAACAGGACACCCTGGTGCAATGTGCCAAGTGTCCCTCGGTGCCTGAGCGCCTCCACCTCAGAGATTTGGGAAGCCAGAGAGCGTAGTTTACAGCACTTGTAGTGCATGGGGGGGGGGGCTTGGCTTTATAACTGCAAAGCACGACTCGCTGACACTCAGGGCTCCTGGCCTATATAGGGCCTAGTGAGTGTGTCTTCGGGCACGCGTGTTGAGAAGGCTAAACGACGAAGACTCATTCAACAGAGAGAAGGACTGATCAACTGAACTGCAAACGCCATCAACTGCCCCGGCCAAGAGAACCTGAGGATGCATTTTCTGCCTCTCCATGGACGGCAGGCTTGGGGACCCATGCTGTCAGCAAAGCTTCGGAAGTCCGGCACGGATGTGCAAGGCAATACGTCCCTCTTCATTACGAAAGCCCTGCGCCAACATCTTCAAGGCAAAAGCTCCTACCAATCCAACAAGACATCATCATAGCCGCTTCCCCGCTTTGCAGGCTGCCATACAGTTCAGCCCTCGCATCGCATACTGCCTGCGCGAAATGCTGGGCCGACTGGGAGGCTAGATTGATCGCTGTTAAAGCCTTCCTGCCATCTTTTGTGAATATTTGCTTGTGCGCGAGTCTGTGTATGCAGATAAACAATCAGATAGTATCTATACCTATATGTATATTAAATATATATATATATATACACACACACATACCTATACATATTTGTATACATATACATATGTATATATAGATATACAACCATGTATGTATGTCGTTTCACATTTGTTGTTTGCGGTGTGCAATTGTTGTGCATGTTCACATGTGATAACCGTTAACCAGAGACAGGGAGACCGACCGTCACAAGCGGAATGTCGGCCTCTGCACCCCTGGCAAGCTAGCCAGCAAACAAGCGGAAAGAGACACCCAGGACAGCTGAAATAAGTGTCGGCAAGCCATGCGTCCAGCTCAGAAGAGCAAAGACCCCCTGCAAGACGCGCAACGCTCATTGCTGTAGAAGATGCGCATGGATGACACATGATAACACAATAAAATGCATACAGTAGCAGTATGCTTATGTTACGTGTGTTACGGTGTTGGTATGCGTGTGTAATGTATTGTAATGTGTGTATATGTATATTGTGTATATCGTGTATGCATGTATATGCCTGTATTTGTGTGCGTAATTTGTGCAGCAATGCATGCATGCTCGCTGGCTGGCTGGCCTGTGGGCTTGCTTTTATGCATGCAACGCATGCATGCGTGAATGTTTGTGTGTTTGTGTGTCTGCGTGTGCATGTTTGTGTCTGCGTGTCTGTCTGTAGATGCAGATGCCTCCGCATCTTGCGTGATTCTTTGGAAAGACTCCCCTCCGCTGGTACTGCAGCATGTGTATGCGACTTTGATGCTTCTTCAGGAGCGTCTGCCTGATCCACGAGCGAAGCCGGGGACGGAAATTGCCGCTAACCTGTCCTTCCTGGCTGCGTCATTTCAACGCAGCTCAGGTTTCCGCAGTGCCCAGTGTGCCAAAGGGCCGTTGACATTGGTCAGGGTTACGCAGACAAGGCGCCACAAGCAGGTTCTGTGCAGCTTCCTGGTTTCTTAAGTGCGCAAGTGGTATCAGGTTCAGTGCCACCCATGCTTGGAGGATCAGCAGCAGCCGCGGCTTCTCATCATCCTGTTGCTGCTATGCTGCTATGTTGCTCAGGAGTTGCTGGCAGAGGTGCACTCGCGCAGACGGCGACCCAAAAAGGACGGGAGCCCACGGACAGATCCAGACAAAGTTTTGAAGTGCCCTGCAAGGATGCAGCCGATGCCAAGAGGGCATCCAGATGCTGTTGGTTGCGGCGGCTCGCTTCTTTCTGCGGCGTGATGCAGGTTTCGAAGCCACGGATCACAAGGAACCGAACATCCGAGTCTCCAATCTCGCAGATTATATTGCACGTACGGCTTGCAAGATCGCTCGGCAGCTTGCGACTTGTGGATGCCAGGCTCTGGGCTCTAGTGCCTGCAGGGCCCCGAGCAATGACGACTTGGCCTGGCAAGGTTTGGGCAAGCCAGTCAAACCAGTCGGGGGAGATGAGTATATACATATTATAATAGTAGAGAGAGTACAATACATGATGACATCCGCATGTCGTAAATTGGAGTACAAAATGAAACGCAAGAATGGCCTCTCATGAGAGCAGAGAGCAATTTGCCCACTTAACCCAACACACGAGGAAGGGCGACATGAGCATGGCACCAGACATACTTGTAGTTAGAAGGATTCTCTTGGATTGCGTTCATATCTACATAACCCTCCACATATACATCATAGGTCGTCATCATAAATACTAGAAAACCATATACATATCGACATGTGTATATATATATATACATATGTAATTATAGGGCTGTAAATGTACATGTACACATGCTGTATGTAGGTATGTGTTTCCTCTCAGGTCGTTTTGTTGATTGCTGTCTTTAACGTGGCCTTCTCAGTCGTGCTCGACCTTACTGGCCGATGGATGGCCAAGGAGCAGAGGGCAGCAGCAGAGACCCAGGTTTCCGCAAAGGTCTCACGGGTGTTGTGGTACGCGGTTTTTGCCGGCTTCAAGGATGTGTGATTTGACGAGGGTTTGACACGCTGTTTACAAGGGTTTTTCTAAAGCACTCGTCTGTAATACTGCTGCTGCTACTGTGACGACTCGCTACGATGTCACTGCCTTTTTTGCTGGGACCTGCAAACATAGGATGCATACACAGACGCACGCAGATCAGGTACATATGTGTGTGTATGCATATATGTATGTATGTATGTATGTATGTATGTATGTGTACATACCTATGTATGTATGTATGTATGTATGTGCGTCATGAGTCTGCATGTGCTAATGCACCTGAGCCAATGTGCTCGCCTGCACAAGTCTGAACCATCCCCAAACCTCGCCTGCATGCCGAGTGCGAGTGCTAAAAATGTATGTACGCACACATAGACACAGGCAGGTATATGTACATAACCGACATATGTATACATATATATATATATATGTATGTGTATATGTGATATGTATGTGTATATGTGTGAATGCATGTGCACACAGGCATTGCGAGCATATCCACACATGTGCTCTGTGTATGAACTTAATTATATGTTTGGGCATCTAGGGGCCCCTTTGAAGTTAAACTATAAACTAGTTCAACATGCAAAGCCGGGGTGCGATCCAATGGCAGGGCTTGTGAGCCCTCGGCGTGTTCTAGCTGCTTTGTGGCCGAAGCTGTGGCAGAGCTAAAGCGGTCGTTTGCCCGTTCTGGATCTTGTGCTTTGCCTGCACTGGAGCTTGGTTCTCCGATTCGTGCCTGGAGTTCTTGACGTGCAGGAGCTGGAGCAACACCCAGCCCTTCTACGTCAGCATTTGCCGCCAGGCATGTTTTTTTGTGCTGATGTGGGCTCGCACAAGCCTCTGGGTTTATGAGAGTGCTTGCAGCAAACCAGAGAGCCGGGGCATGATCCCGCTTCCAAAGCGTCCCATGTCGCGCTTGTCCCAGAGCCTCGCTTGCCTTCTTGGACCTCTTGCCTCTCATGTTTCTTCGGAGCAGACAGTCTATGTCTATCTGAGCAAACGCCAACGCAGATGCAGCAACAGACGCTTTGCTCTTGAAGCCTTGGATGCTACAAATCGGCTCTGGGGCGCTATGCCTCGGAGAAACGTCGTCATTGTCCTCCTTTGCTGTTTGCATGGCACCGGCTCATCATCTTGTACGTTCCCTTCCGTAGCTGATGTGGCGAAGCCCAGCTTGGCTTTAAGCTGCCTTCGCCATGAGATCGCTCGACTCGTTTGTTACTGGGTCGAAGTGGTCTATTCGCGGCTTGCGGAACCGGCAAGATTAATATAGCTGGTCCCTGACAAAATATTCGGTAAAGTGTGTGTGCAAGTGATGGTTTCGCCAGCTGTCTTTGTAGCGCATAGAAAAGCCAAGGTGCGCTTGCAATCGGGGTACAGGCAGCTGGTTTTCCAGTTTCGTCTGTAACTAGACTTTACTTAAGAGGGGGGAAGGTTCTTGGAACATCGTCCTTTTTCACGAAACGAAGGAAAGCACGTCCGGCCAAGCAGAATCGCAAGTTGTTATCCATCTGTCTTCCAGACATCTGTCTATCTATCCATCTCTCCATCGTCTATCTTCCGTCCATCCATCCTTCCAGCTATGTATCTGCCTATTGATGTATTGTTCGTGCCCAATCAAGCATGGATGCGCATATCTACTATCTATCTATCTATCTATCTATCTACTGTATCTATCTATCTGTCTATATATATATATATATATATATATATATAGATAGATATAGATATGATATATATACACAAAATTGCCCATCCTACCTATGTTCGCATGCGCCTGTTTGTTGACAGCTCATCGTATACCACGAGCAAAGTTGCTGGCGTTATCATTGTTGCCATCGCGGCTTGTATGAAGACAAGCTTTGCATATATAGCCACCACCAGCTACCGCAGACAATGAGAGTGCGACGAGAAGCGTCGGGCTGTGGCCGTGTTGATTGCTGTCGTCGTCGTGGTCGTCGTGGTGATTTAACATCACTGTTACGATGAAGCCGACGACGACGACTGCGATTAGATACATCGAGCTACTATAGTTCTGGATGCTGTAATATCTAGAAGAGTTCTTTCCACAAAATACCCCCCCCCGCCCCCCCATTCATTCTGCATACGTGTGTGTGGGGGGGGGGGGGGGCAAAGCAGAGTCAAGGCGCCGCCTCGCTGCTTTGCACCGAAGATGCCAGGGACCTCCTCGAGGCTCGGCTCGGAAACCCGCTCGCTTTGCGATACGGACTCACGGACCCTAGTACCCCTGTATACCCTATAATGGGGCTATATAAGGGGTATATAGCATAGCTATATATTAAGGTTCTATACCTCCCTACTCTGTTCTTCTCTGTGTCTCGCTTGTTTAGCAGGCAGCCATAAACTTGGCAGCTGGAGGTGCTTGCGCAGGACTCGACCCTGCGGCTGGTCTCGTCGTTTTTGCAGGAGGTCCGAGTGGCAACCACTTGATTAGTCAGTGCTTAGGTTTTCTTGGTGCTGGTGTCAATACACCCCAACTTGAGGTGGCAGCCAGGGCATGCGAGGGACCAAGAAGGCACCCTGCAGTTACTCGGACAGCTTGCACGCTGTGTGGCATCTTTCCCCGCAGGTCCCGCGTCTCGGAGACGAGTGGCGTGGCCCGAAAAGAGCTATGACTCTTGCAATACTCAGAATTAGCTTCGCGCTTAAATGTGCCACTTTAATCCAGCTTGGACAAGATTTGCGGCTTTGCGATACAGCGAGATCCTTCGTTCCGTGAAGCTGTGGAAAATGGCAAGGGGCTGGAGTTGCCTGCCGTCACGTGCATGTTATCTTCGAAACTTTATGTGCATGCAGCTTGCTCTTTCACGCACTAGTATTTGCATGGAGCACGAGATGCATCTGCCTGTCGTGGATTAGCAAGGAGCCCGGTAGTCAGGAAAAAGGCACCATGACTTGCCGGAGACAGCAGACTTCAGATTGATGCCCATTAAGAACGGGCATGTTCCGTGTCCTATCGTGACCCATGCAACTGGCAACTCCTCTGATCCAAGGCTCGGGTGATCTGAAGCAGATCAAGACTGTCGCTTTCAATCTTGCACGGCTACGTGCCGTCTGCACCACGTGTCAGGAGCCTCGATTGGCTGCCTCCCCGCTTTGGAATGCTGTGCGTGCATCCTATGGCTACTCGCTTGGTGTTGTCTCACCAAGCTGGTCTCTGGCGAGCCCAGCACCTCGGTCGCAATAGCAGTTCGTGGAGCACGGGTTCAATCCGACGAGAGCATCATGAGCTTCAGCGTTTGGGATGCACAGGCCCGTACATCTTGTGCTTGAGCGCGGCGGTCCATGTCCGAGTACCGCCCCCTTTGGGGCAAGGGCTGCCGCTGCCGGACTTCCTGTTGATCTATCTCACAGGCCGCGGAAGTCCATTCTTGTGGCCTCCGTTTCTGGTTCAAGTGCTGGGCAGGTCATAGCACTTTCTATGCTTGCTGCTTCGGAGGCCCGAGGGTTGCCTGCATGACCTTGAAGACTTTCTCCCAAACTGGCCTTTCCGCTCTCTCCTCCTCCTTTGGATGGCATCGTTGGCCAGAACTCCTGTGTTAAGATTCATCCTTGGCCTGGCTTTTGTTTGATAGCCAATGCAGTTTGTGCGACCCTGCCTGATGTCTCATGGTGTCCTGTCTCTTTGGCTGTTGGCTTTTGAGTGCAGTTCCAGTTCTCCATATCCTACATGTAGTTGTATAATTAACATTTCCCCTCAGTGCCGTTGGTCTGGCTTGTGTTCGCATGGTCGTCTGAAGGCCTGTTCTGGTGGAGTTCCTCCTCCTGGCGGCTTTGTTGGCTCCTGGCCTCGTTCTTCTGCTTGCTGGCCACAGGGCGCCGGCGGTGGGCGCTCTCCCGGCTCCCCACCGTGTCGTCGGAGTCATTGAGGGCTCTGAGACCCTCGCAGCCGATGCTCACTCTGCTCCATCCGTATTTGCTTCCCGGCTGCATGGATCACGAGCAGGCTTTCAGAAGGGACGTGCGGAGAGATCCCAGAATCAGGTACTACTTTCTCTCGGAGCTGCCAGGGGCATCAGAGGTTGTCCGCATCGAGAGGATGGATCCACCAAGCCTGCGCATGCCCATCGCTACTTACTTTGCACCATGCTTGAGTTTGTTTCCCATGACGTCTTCGTCGTCAACCTGAGGATGTTTGGCGCAGTTCTGCAGACCTGCCTTCACGACCCGTGCTCTTCCTGAAGCAAAGCCGCAGGGAGTCTGACAGAGTCCTGCTTCATGACTTCGCTCTGCGGGCGGCACGGCTCCAAGGATCCATGGCGGTGCATGGCGAGGAGGAGAAGCGCGGTGCTCACCGCAGGAGCCATGGGCCACGCGGGTTTTGCAGTCAGATGGAGTTGCGAACGATCCCTTGGCAAACTTCACAAACCACAAACATTCACTTGTGCTGCAGCGGCTGGCCTCAAGCAGGCCCCCGTTCTTCAAGCTCTGGCATCTTCCGGCTTCCTCGTTGCGCCTCGACCGAGTTCCTTTGTGACGGTGCAGGGGGGGGAAGCTGGCGGGCCCGGGATCTCTTTTCTGTTGAGCCGCCGCTTCCCGAGGTGAGCTGCGAGTATCGTCGCTTGCCAGGCGCCGCCGCTTTCGGGGTCGTAGTGTCGTAGGGCGTCGAGAGTGCGAGGCACGCAGTGGCCCATGCAGCTGGAGGACTGTGAGGCGGCCTTCAAGTGGCTCCAAGACGAGGTTCAACCGCCACGCGCACGCACGCGCCGCTTCCCCTTCTCAAGGGCAAGACCGTGTCTTCATCCCTGTTTTTCAGGCGGCCACTCTGGGAGCTGACCTCTCCAAGGTCTCCATAGCCGGCACCTCTGCTGGGGGACACATCGCTGCTCTTCTCCTGGCCCGGCGCAGCACTCAGAAATTGAAGTTTTCACTGGGAGCAGTGGAGCAGAGATGCAAGTGCAAGGATGCTGAACGAGCGGAGCGAGAACGCCGAGCACGGCATCAGAGTCACTGCCATGCTGCTCTTCTACCCGGCCTTGGATCCTGCCGATCGCACCGGCAACACGGTTTGCTCCCCCTTCTCCTGCTCTTGCTTGGGTGTGAGGCCCCGCAGCCAGGCTCCAAGAAGCCTTCCTGCTCTGTCTTGAGTTGATCCGATGCCAGGCGCGGGATGAGCTTTCTGGCGTGGTACTTTGAGAAGTGCCTTGGCTGTATCGGATCTGTACTCGGCGTTACCAGTGCCCGTGGGCGCACCGACTCTTGCAGCTTAACTGATTGACTACAAAGTGTTCTGGAGACCAGGTTTGTTCTGCAGGACCGCCAGCTTTGGCCGTCCGCAGAGCCCTTGGGGCTCCTCGAATCGGCGCCTCAGCATCGTCAATAAGACAGGACTATAGTGCCATAGCGTTCTCATTAGCTCACAAACTGCTAGCTTTCTAGTATGGCCAGCGGCAGCTACGCCTATGACAGTGCGAGTTGTCTTCCTTTGGCCGATGTTTGTGTCCTGTGTCATCATGACAGTGGGCCTGATTGTCATCAGCAGGCTAGCCAGGAGGTTGCCGCAGTGTGGCCGCCGACCCTGCACCTTGGGCCAGATTTCACGGGCTTTCTAGGTTGTGAGGCTTCGCTGTTCTAGGGGAGGCAGAATTGCTGCACGTGACGCAAAAGTTTGAGCCCCATCGTTGGTCATCATACTCATGTCAGGATCATTCACGGAGAGATGGACGGCGTCGTTCCTGTGGAGCATAGCTTCGAGCTCAGAGCGAGGCAGCACAGGTTGGTGGCCAGAGGCTCTTGCGGTCGTGGGGAGGGGGGGGGGGGGGGGGGGGGCGTTCGATGTATATGTGAGCTACCCCATATTTTTTTATTACCACATGCAGCAAAAGCTCGTTTGAAGCACCTCTTGGTGTCACGGTCGGGGTAATATGGTGTTGTGGTCGTGAGGGCATCCAATGTACATGTGAGCTACTCCACACTTACCACATGCATCACAAGCTCGTGTGGACATTTTGGACGCCACGCGTGGTGTTACGATCGTGGTGGGGGCATCACAAGCTCGTTGGGGCACCTTGGGCACAATGATTGGTGTTACGGTCGTACGGGGTGTCCACCGGACCTGAGAGCTACATGGTCCACACTCACGCATGCATCAAAAGATTGTTTCGACCTTTTGGACACGCTCTTGTTACATATATATATATATATATATAGAGAGAGAGAGAGAGAGAGTAGATACAAACATACATACATACATATGTATATATATATAGCATATTAGGTATGTATAATATATATATATATATGTATATATATGTATATATATGTATATATATATATATATATATGTGTGTGTGTGTGTCTTCTAAGTCAAAACAGACTCTGGGCCAAGGCCGCTCCTTCTTGGCATCCCTGGGCGCAGCGAGCGCAGGTCCGGGCCCAACTGAAGCAGCAAACTGATGACTTCAAGTAGTAGTAGTAGTAGTAGTAGTAGTAGTAGTAGTAGTAATAATAATAATAATACTCCTATTAAAGCTAAGAAGCAATCAAGCGTAACGGTCATTATTATTGTTACTTCTGGAGTACTCGTACCAACAAAGAAGGCTGCGCATGTCGGGTAAATCTAGCACGAGGCGGCAGCTGCGAATCAGACACTGGAGGCTCAGCTTCGTTTGGAGAGGCGATTCCACGGAATCATGGGCCTAAGACCTGCTGTGCCCAGGTGAGGAGAGCGGTCGCAGATTCAGAAGTGTGGACAGGCCTCTTGAAGTTATGTGCTTGCTGGATTCCTGGGAGTGCTAGGCGGCTTCAGCTCGTTCCTTCACTACAGGCTCTTGGTCGTGCCCCTCGCCCGCCACGTTTTCGAGACTTGGACGACTCAACATGCAGTCCATGGCTGGCGAACAAGCCAATACTGGTAACGGAAACGAATGCGCTGTTTCGGATGACTTCCTGAGATTGAGGAAATCGCCGCTGGCGATCTGGCTAGCGCGTCGTACGATGCAGCCATCGGTTGGCTATCCCAGGTGCAGGACAGGTGTCAGAAAAGAAGTGTCGCGGAGTGAGATGTGGCAACTTCAGAATGCCACCGTTGCCGTGGAGAGCTAAACTGACGGTAGAGTGATCTTGGGAATGCGTAGTGCGAGCAGACCTTGGTAGGACCTTCAAAGAACTGCTCAAGGGATGCCTTCAGAAAATGGAGCCCGAGAGCAGTCCGAAAGTTACGAGACCCCACAAGCCTAATGCACCCGACCAGCAAAGGGGCTCCCATCGAAGACTTGTTCTGTGCTGCAGCGACATTGACTCCCCTGGCCTAATGACGAGTGGTCATATCTGCCTGTACAATACATAGGAATGTCCGCAGTGGATGGCGCCATGTCTCCCGGTCTCTCTCGGAGCGCTTACCAGTACGACCTGGAGAATGCCAGGTCATTGCTGCAGAGACTGCGCAGAGGCAGGCGTCTTGAAACGTTCAAGAGCTGCAGAAATCGATGAGGGATGGATAACGAGTATATACTGCACGGGCAGGATGACAGCACTGGCATACTCCCTCCCACCGTCGCTTTTCGTGTAACCCGATAAGACTTTTGGTGCCAGGATCTTTGAAAAGCAAGCGAACTCCAAGTTGCGTTGGAGATCATTAAGGCATTTCAACAGCTGGGATGGCATCTATACGGAAGCCTCGGATTCGCAGTGCTACACTCTACCACAGAAACGCGCTGGGGTTGGTTAGACTTGCAGGTCCTGCGGATGATGAATCAAATGGCTCGGAGATTGTCCAGACATCCGGCCCTTGTGTGCCTGGGCTTGTGCACCTGCTAAGCATGCCTTCCGACCGCCATCTGTCACATTACGGCAGCTACTGAGACTGCTGCGACCACTGCCTTCGCTATCTCCACTGCTATCACCACCCGTCACCACTCCACACGCAGCACGGACGACGGTTTCCCATCCGCTTCCTGATCCTCAAACCTGACCACACCGAAGTACACGGAAAGTCTTTCGAACAGGAGGCTTCCTGCTGTCCGCTGAGGAGTGCAAAAGTGATGGTGGTCAATGTTGGCTAATGAAGATGAAGAGGTTCACGATCATGGTGATGCATGTGACCGCGTTGGTTGTAGTTGTAGGGTGCAGCAACAACCGGTGAAACTTGTCAACACAGCGAGCGAGCAATGTGCCGTGATATCACAGGCAAAAATCACTTGGCCTTGTAAGCTCAGGCGCGGTTTCTGGTTTGGCGCGTGCTCGAAAACTGGGATGGACAAGGTCTCTCTGATCGACGGGCTTGTCTAGCGGCTCCTCGGCTGCACGGCCAAGGCGGATGCCCTTCCGTACAGTTTTTTTGTTTTTTTTTTGAGGGGAGGGGGGGGGGGTGTTTTCAGGTCATTTTGGCAGAAGCGCTTCTGCTAAATCGCGTGGCGGCCCTGCCGACCTTCACTTTGTCTGGTCAGCACAACAACGGCACTTCTCGTTCGTCGGACCTCATGGAATACCTGTCACTCCGACACATCCCCGTCCAAACTGTGCCTCTGAAAAGTGCTGGACTAAGTTGAGGGGATGAGCGTCCCCAAAGTTTCAGCAGAGACGGTCGAGATCCGTCAACACTTGCGAAGGCCTTCCTTCGAGGGTCTGGAAGGATGCCATGGATGTGCACGGCGAGCTGAACCCAATACAGTGGAAAGACGTGTCCGCCTCCGCGCTCATACGTTACAGCTCCCGGGAAGGATTCTGGAAATCCGGGATCCATGCCTCGGTGATGAAACTTGCCGGTCTTTTTCATGGTACGGGAATGCAACCAACTGCAGGGCTGTTCGATCCATCGACCCGTGTCGTAGAGGCAGTGGCATGGATGCAAGCTACTGTTGATTTGCGCTTCTGCTTTCTTGGTTCGGTCCATGACGGCGGAACTCGGAGAGCAAAGCTTTTTGCGTGGGGCGTTGCTTCTGAGGCTGCTCAAGTCCGGCTGCGACTGGGGCTGGGTGCCTACGTTGGGGTTCACGTGAGGCAAGGGCCGCGAGGGAATGGATTGGAGAATAGAAAGAGTGCAGTGGAAAAAGAGATAAAAGAGGTACGAGTTATGAAACAAAAAAACAGGGCACTGAGCCGACTGAGAACTTTGTTCGAAGGCGTGGGGACAAGCTCCTGATCCCGGGCCTGGACTTGGCAACCACGCCAGAGGCAGTGGCCGAGCGAGTGGCACACCTGGCCCCGCCTGGCGTGCGAATGGTGCCACTTGCACACGATTTTAAAGCCTTGCAGACTGAGCCCCAAAAGGCGTTGTCAGCGTGGTTGCAGAGTGAGAAGGGTGTGGTGGCAGCGACGATTGACCAGGAATCTTCGTAGCTCATGCGACATTCGTGGCTTTGCAGAGCCTGCATGCAACAATCTCTTCAGTTAGCTGTTAGATCTACTCGCACGCAAAACTCAGACCATGCATTCTGTCAAGACAACGCACGGTGCCAGCTACGAACAAAGCCAGCAACTTCCCAGGTACGTGGCCACGAACGACACCCAGGCGGACTACGGCACTGCACTTCTCAAGAGGGGCTTCCAGTGCTTCAGCTCCCATTGCTGGCTTCCTTCCGTAAGCGACAACTTCTTCCTTTTTGCCGTTGAGATGCAGATTGTCGATGCGGCCTCTGTGAGCATCCGAACATTCAACGATTCCATGCCGTGGTACAGGGCCGGTCTTGCTAAGCCGTCCCACTGTTTGCTGGATCGCAGCATGCACGACTATGTCTTTGGCTTCAGTGCCACGGGCTCTTTGTGCACATGGCCCGTTTGCGGCCCCGTTCCTCTTGACCTGGGAACACTCTGGCAAACGGCCGCCGCAGAGGAGGCAGAGGAGACTCCGAGTGAGCCAGCGGGGGCCGAGCCCGTGACAAAGTATAGCATCCTGGTCCTTGAGGGGCCCGGGCAGAGCTCCGAAGGATCAAAGTGCTGGGAGTTTCCTGCGAACCTTTGGCCGATGGAGACTTCGGGGAAAACGCAGGAGGTGACCCTTGAGCTCTTGGAGCCATGGCTTCGAAGCGCCCCCAAGAGAGAAATCTCCACGTGGACTGAGTATTTCGGAGCCCTGGCAGCTTTCGCAGATGACATCTCCGAGGGTTTGGTACGCAGATCTACGCTTTATGCCTTTGAGAACGTATCAAAGAGGCACAGGCATCTGACTTCCGCAACAATACCTCGGCGAGGAGCAGTCTTCTGTTATGTGTCCGTTGGCAAGGTGTCGGTCAGGGACCAGCATGGTGCCTTCGAAATCGTCGCCGGACAGTACTGCGTCGTCCCAGCTCCTGTTCGCTTTGAGCTGATCAACAAGACCAGACTGGTCGCCGTCCACACACATCCATTCCAGCCTTTGCGAACTTTGGCTGATTCTGGTAAGTGTTGCCTGTTATCTTTGCAGAGAGACCCACCGCCTTGGGCGTCACATGGGCCAGCCGGCTTGTCAGAAGGCGGGTGCTCAGCCGTGAACAGGCACTACAGTAGCCTGGCTCTCGCTTGACACGACTCCAGACATCCCCAAAGCCGTAGCAGCCTGACTGCTAAAGTGTGCAGCAGCCAAGGAACTATCGGCGGTCCGATTGAGAGCAAGGGCCGACTGCGGTATGTAGACGGCTGCAGCGACACGCTCTTGCTGGCTCCACCAAAGCTTTCGGATCCATGCTTGAACTTGCTCCATTTCCCTCCAGGCATCCATCAAACATTACACACCCACCCTTCCGTGCGCTGTGGGCTCATTGCAAGTGGAGCTGGATATTGCATGGATGGGGATCATCGCAAGATGGAGCTGGAAGAAGGCATGGTTTGGGCCATCCCGAAGGATGCCGTGCATTCCTTCCACACGGCAGAGTCGAACGAAGAGTTGAACGTTATCGCCTTCCATCCCGACTCGGACTGGGGTCCTCTGGACGAGGACCACCCCATGCTGAACCGGACATGGGTGGACGGTGCCAAGATTGACAACTGCACTGAAAGTCACCGACGGGCCGATATGCTCCTTACGGACCAGTCGAGGGCCCTGCATCTCGCGAGCTCCCTCAAGAAGGCTCTCAGCCAGAGAGAGCTGCAGCCGCCAGAGTCGCCAGAGCCAGGCAGCTGGGAGCCGAAAGCCTAGCCGCACAGAGAGCCGATGCAATTTGTGGGAGGGGGTTTCGGAGAAGGCTCCGCTTGTAGTTCCGCAGGAGTGCACGCATTGTCTGTCTTCAGGAGAAGCCGACGGTGGCTGTCGCGAAACTTGGGTTGTGCATTTAGCGCTTCTCGCAGATGGCCTTCGCCCAGTAGAGCTGACGGAGGAACTTGCGTCCTGGCTGCACGACCTTGCTTCCGACCGAAGGTGTTGCTGCTTCGGTTTGTGCGTCTACGTGGGAGCGAGTGTGTCATGATCACAACGGAGGGCCTTGAGATTGAGATGCTAGCGGATGGCCGCTCAGCCAAGCCAAGGTCGCGCCTGATACTCCGAGCACGCAGTATTGTCGGGCTGCGTTGACGAGTGAGCAGACAGCGCGGCAGGGCCTGCAACAGTTGTCGCTACGCATCGGCGACACACGAGCTGCTTGGCTCATTCACCCGTTCTGTCGAGCCCTCCCAACTCCTCTGTCCAGCAACTGACTGAAGGCGTTCCAGCTGTCTGCACAATCCTAAACGAAAGTAGGTGACATCCCTTCCGACTTTGAGAACCCAGGCTGCGGATGGCTCTTGCCTACAAGCGTGTAGAGTGAGGCTGGACACAAGCTCTGGCCTCTTGAGTGTGTCCACGTGCACAGGATAAATGGGAGGATCGCGCTCTGATTGCGCAGGCTGTGCAGGATTCGGCGGTTCTTGTTGATTCGCCGGAGATCTCCATCCGCAGCCCCTGAGAGTCCGTGAAGTCTTCCCTTGGCTTGGGGTGTGAGCTGTAATTGTACCACCTTTCTTCCAAACAAGCACCACGGCCCTTGTATGTGCTTGCAACTTGCAACCCCGTGCAACCCCGGCGGGTCCTGGCTTTTCTCCTGTGCGCAGACCTGCGCAGCACGAGCCATGGGCTACCGCATCGGGGGTCCCTGGGGCTCCGCTCCGCCCGATGCGGCGAAGAAGCGGCTCCAGGCCGTTAACGGAGGCACAATCAGGTGTGCTGCAACTGCAAGAAGAAAGGCCAATCGCGCGGAAGAGAACCGTTTCGTGACGACCTATAACAAGACCTTCTGTGCCTACCTGAGCTTCTCTTCCAAGCTGCTTCCGAGTGCTCCAGCTGTGTTTTCGTGGAGTGTCGCGGTGTTGAAGATTCAATTGCCAAGGCTTGTCAAAGTCGCAGTCAGCCACAGTGGTGAACCCGCCCAAGAAGATGCTGCTGCCCCAGATTGGCGGAGATGCGCAGAGCCCCGGCCATCGTTACTAACTACTCGCGAGCGGGCATTGACTTCCAGCACATGCGAGAGGGAAAATAACTACTGCGCCTTAAATCCCTTTCCGTGGTCAGCCTTGTGAGAGCTGAGGAACGCCGCTGCCTTCAAGGGCGCGCCCACTCCTGTGACTCAGGTCGAACGGAGAGCGCTGCGCAGCCATGCAGTTGCACGAGTTTGTGCGAAAAAGCATGGCATACTCGTAGCATGGCTGAGTCCTCAGGGAGCACATCAGGGCTGCGGTGTATTGCAAGGCAAACACGATCAACCCGATTGCGACAATGTCCATGACGAAGTCCATGACCAAATCGCTCTCAAACAGTTCGCTACAACTGGCAGGCCCCTGGAACGGTCGCATGAGAGATGTGAGAGCAGACAGATGTCACAGAATTCTAGCAGCTAGCAGGAACGTCCTGACGCAGTCTGAAGCGCTCTTGAGGCCGTGCACTCTCGACAGATCTTTTGAGGATGAACGCTTCATACGAAGAGCACCTCGGACTCGTTCTCGAAGCCGGATAGGCCAGAAGGGACAAGGGGAACAGCAGGCCAAGTGTCACGGCACTGAGCCGGGACCGCTGCCCTGACCACTGTGCCATTAATGCTTTCGGAATGCCATGGACTGAGGGTGACTGGAACTCTGATGCTGAAAACCTTCAAGAACAGAGCTTCTCAGATGCAGGAAGTCGCCTCAGCTGTGTGCTAAAGTAGAGTCAGAGGCCACCCTGCAAAAGGCTCAAGGAAAGCAGCGAAACCCCCCGCAGCTACAGGAGCTGCTGAAAGCTTCCGCAATTGCACCCCGAGCACGAGCAGAGAGCTTAGGATATGCGCCGAAAGTGCCTTGAGCTCCTGGCAAGACCTGACCTTAGAGACATCGCGCAGGAGCCGCAAGGGTGCAGTTTTGATTGTGTTTCGAGTCAGTGTGCGCAGCTGCCTTCATTCACGTGTTTGGCGCCTGTATTGCGTCGACATCTCATTTTGGAGTCAGCTCTTCAATCAGAGACTGCTTGGCCTCGACACAGCACCCTAGACTGCCAAGGTGAACTCTGTCCCTGTTGATTCCAAACAAGAGGCGAGAGTGAGCGCCTGAGCCCATGGAGGGTCCCCGCCCCCGCCAGGACCTTTTCAAGCAGGCCGACGCCGACAATAGCGGCGAGTTGGAGTTCCCAGAAATCCAGAAGGTCTTGGAGAGGCCGCTCTAATTCGCACAGATTGGAGGATGTAGTACAGATGTGATGTTGCATCGAATATGCAACATAATCTCGGCATGGTAGGGCGTGTCTGTATATCTTATCTACTTTCCATCCTACTTGATTACAGTCCTACCGACGCACCTACTTGCCTACCTGCGCACATACCGCCTGACTATGTAAGTACGTACATACATACAGTCACACTTTGGCCGCATTCCCCGGAGCCGGAGGCTGCATGACGAGATGGACCTGCCCCTGCCGAATCGGGATTTGGTTGACCATCGGCTTAACTTAGAGTTTCGGGTTCAGGGGGTGGGGTTGTTTAAACGGTTTTCTCTAGTCGAGGTTGACTTGGAACCATCCGGTGAAAGGTGTGCGGTCTTGCGCTTGTGTGCTCTGTGTGCTGCAAGTGCTTGTGCTTCTTTACCAGAGCCACGTTTGCACATGGTGGGTTCGCAGTCATGCAAACAAACGAAGCACCTCCAAAGGAGTCGTTGCTCAAGCGCTTTGACACCACTGGGAGGAAAGTCCTGGGGCAATATGATTTTTACGAGCAGCTTGGATAGTTGCAGTTGGTCTCAAGCTTGAAGTCTTGCGAGCTTCATGCCAGCTCCCCCTCCCCGCCCTGTGTCTCCGGCAACGTTACAGTCAGGTTACTGGTGTCGCAGCTGCGGCGTAGCGCCTTCGATCGCGGATCCGTGCTGGGAAGGGAATTCTTCCTGACGAAAGGCAAGGATCACCTGAGCGTGAAACCGTCTTCCGCTAAGCCTCTCTTGGCATCCACACATGTCTCCCTGATGCAGGTAAGCAGGATGTGTGGGAGGTCTTTCGCCGCGAGAAGCAATTGGGGACCGGTTCCTTCGGAACTGCATACAAGGCCATGGCTCTTCACGTGTGGCCTGGTTGTGGCCTGTCAGACACTACTTTCTGGTAGGCTCAGGGCTTTCGCTTCGGGACGGTTCAGGGTTCGGGGCTCAGTGCAGGTTTTAGGTTTGTAGAGACTGGAGCTGTCTCGCCACTTGACACTCTGGAGTTTGGAGTGCACGTGTTTAGCCGCGAAGTTCACGACATCGTGAGTCTGCAGGCCAAGCATATCAAGACTGGCGAGGAGCGAGTGATCAAGGCAGTTAAGAAGAGCCGCACGGCTCTACCACTGGATGAGATCGAGCAGGAGATCCTAATTATGAGGCCAGAGATCCATAGATTTTCTCCTTCAAGCAATCTGGTTGGTTGTTTACCCGGCCGGGCAGCGCAGGCAAATTGACCATCCAAACATCGTCCGTCTCTTTGAGTGGTACGAGGATGGAAATCGGATTTATTTGGTCTTGGACTACTTGAAGGGCGGTTCCCTGAAAGATGTCGTTTTGCAGCTCAACAAGAAGGCGCGGGCTGGCCTTGCGCTTTCCTTCCCTCACCTTCGGCACGCAAGGACGAGAGAGGCCTCAAAGAGGCCTGGATCCGTGAGGTCATCCAGCAGTCTGCTGGGGGCCTGGCTTACTGTCATGCGCTTCGTCTGATTCACAAAGACTTGAAAGACGAGAACATCATGCTGCTGCAGATGCCTGATTGCATGTACTGGTAGGACCGCACTTCAAAGGGCCAAAGGCCTTGGAGCCAGCTTGCTCTGTATCTCAGGAAGTCAGCCAACTGGGAGAAGCCTCATGTGCCTCGGTCCTTGGCCCTGTGAAGGCAGCAGAGAGAGCGATTCCTGCAGGTGGTGATCATCGACCTTGGCGTCGCGGAGATGTTCTCAATTGCTGACCCTGCGGGTCGCATGATCGGCGGAACACCTACGACTATGGCGCCGGAGGTGCCCATCGCGCCGTTCTGAATCTGGAGTCAAGAGTCTGGAGTCTAGAGCCCACGACATCTCACGACGCATGCTGTGCTGCCCGCCCCAACTTGTTTGCCGAAGGTCTGGATGGGAACATTTGGCCCTAAATGCGACGTTGGGATCTCAAGAAGTCTGATGCCTTCCTTGGGGCTTGGGCAACTGGCAGATCGAGTTCCCTTTCAGCCCCGTCCCACTTTGGAGCTGGGCGACGGCTTGTTGTGTGGAACTGAGGTGTGGTCACTGGGGTGCATCATGTTCGAGCTCTGCACGGGCTCGCTTCCCTTCATGGCCGCCACACTGCAGCCCAGTGCTTGGACGCGACTTCACAAACGTGGGCCGAAGCCTTGCGCCCAGATCTCTTGCTCCACCAAGAATCTGAAACTGTTTTGCGCAAAGTCGGCTTCAAAAGCACCCTTGGCAGGTGGGATGACATGAAGACTTGTGCCGACAGCAAGGCCCGACATGGAAAAAGCATGTGGCTGCAGGCTTCCCCGGTTCGAACCCCCAGGTACTGTGCAAAGCCATGCTGCAGTATGATGAAGAACAGAGACCTTCAATGACACAGATCCTTGGGCCAGGGGCCCAGCGCAGAGGCCTGCAGGTCCTATGCCAGGTCAGCTGAAATCGAGCCAAGGTTCCCATACTTTGCGCCGCTTTGCCAGCACAGCACACCTGGGTCTGCTCAGATCACGCTCTCGCAGTGCGCGAAGGGCAGCTGTAAGTGGTATGATGTTGCATGCAGATGTGGCTTTGGGGGTTATTGTCCATAAGCTGTCGGTAGCAGGGCGTGAAAATTGACATCTGTCGATGGTGGGCCTCAGACTTGACAGCTATGTCCAGGTTGACAGCTTGCAGGGTACTCTATAGGCATGCCTCAAGGCAGTGCACGCGTGCAAATTCGTGATGTAGTTTGGTTTCCTTGGGTGGGCATTCCGTCCCCGGTCATGTCGGGAGTCGGACATCTCCGCTTTTCGTCCTGCATGACCAATGCCGGTCCGGCCCACAGCTGTTATTGACTTCACGTCTTGTCTTGTTTGGCAATCGTCCTTCCAGCCTTTCATGCTAGAGTTTTTCGTTGCAGCAGGCAGACGAAGCGTTTTTTGAATGACTGTCCTCTCAAAGCATTATGTCGGTTCTGTCAACACCACCGCCGGACCAGCTTTTTCTAGCTCGAGCTCCCGAATGAAGAGTTAGCAGCAAGCGGTATCTAGTTAGCGGGGGAAGTCACAACCGTCATCAGAGCCTTAATACGTCATGGAATCACAGTGCCTTAATTCCTGACTAACTCCCGTATACTGTACCTCTTATGGGCTGCGTACGGTTGAAGATTACATAAGATTACATCAACAGCGTGTTCTAGCAC